ATGAACATGAGCGCCTTGCAGCTGGAGGACTCTGCTGTGTACTTCTGTGCCAGCTCACCACAGCCTTACAGAGTGACAGGCTTTCTGTCCCTTAATCTTCCTGGGGATGTACTAGGTAGAGAGGGGTTGTGAGATTCCACATAGCCTTAGCCAAGGCTCACAAATGCTTCTAGATCACTACTAATCCCCTCACTACATGAGTCTACACAGAGTGGTCCTAAAACTGGGGTGAGCTCCACACCTCCAGATGTTCTCACATCTCTGCCAGAACCTCTAGCTCCTAGACAGTGAAAGGAAACCCTACTCTGTTTTGGGTTGTGAGCATAGGCAATATATTTTAAGACAAGGGTAGACATTAACATATCCATTTTCTAGATTAAGATTTCTACACATCAATAGGAATCAGTAGCTTATGAAATGTCTCAGCATTTCATGTTAAAGAATACCAACACAAGCATTGAAATCTGCATCTCTTTGCTTTCTATGACAAAGTTCTGAATTTACTTGGTGCTTCCCAGTTTGGGTTAAAAAAATGTTGCAGCTCACTGTCTCTTGTGTTCTGAGCTTAATGTGAATGTATGAGGTGCTGACAGGTTCTAGATGTATACTATTAAGCTGGATAATGTTTGTATAGTCATAGGTTCAAGGTGAGGTTTAAATTTTCAACAAAAGAAAATTTGTTACTCAGTAATCAAGTAATCATTTTAAAAGGAATATAAGGAGATATTATGGCATACGCTTCTCTCTCTCATTAAATCAGAGTATTGTTAAGAAGACTACCATTACTGGTAGGTCAGAACTTAACCTGGAAATGAGCCTAAGAGCTACAAAATTTCAAGTTCTACAATTGAACATCTAAGTCTAAAGTCGACAGTGGCTCTTCCTTGGACAGACTCAACCATGGGCAATTGCCTTTTGTCTTGGTGGCTCTTGGTTTCTGGGGACCAGCCATGCCATGGTTTTGGCGTTGAGAGGTATGTCCTTTCTGGAATGGCCAGACTCTGTCCTAAGCTTCTTCATATGGATGCTGTGCTGCCCCCTTTGTTTCTGCTTCTGCTTCTGAGTCCTTCCTCACCAGTTACAGGATTATACAAAGTATCCGTCAAGATCCCACCAGGATGTTTGGGAACCGAAAGCAGTTTTATACTTTGGTATTATCTGTGTTGGCAGTAATTGACCTATCCTTTACTTAGGAAGGAACCTATACTGCCTTTGAGTGGAGGTAAGTGTTTCATGTTAGAGAACTTAGAACACCAACTTTTGATTAAAATAGTTACATTTACATGAGAACCTAGACAAATCAGATCTTCACATTGCCAGGCTAACAGTTCACTTACATTGCTGAAGGAGACTCTCTCTCCACCGAAATCACAATGAGGAAGCTTAGGTCGGCCCTCCACAGCATCACCTGAAACAAGGACATTTTTTGCTTTTGTTTTTGTTTTTACAATCAACGAGGACATACTAGCCTAGCATAGAATGTAGAGCTTGTGTCCCTGAATTGTTGTGAGATAGCTTAAATCAACTGTTCACATTGAAATGACCCCAACCGTGGTGTTTTATAAGCTTTCTAAGTGTCGAGCAGTTCTTGTAGCCATAGACAGCACTGAAGGTTCATCTTCAAGTGTTTAAGGCAAAGTAAAGAATTAGTAGAAACTTCATAGAATACGGCATGTTGTGTAGGTGCAATTGAGGCTATACATGTAGTTTAAAAATAAAAGAATGTAAAATATAGAAATGTATCATAGTAGGAATAAAAGAAACCTAATATGTTCACTTAAATCAAAGAAAGAGTACATGGATGTATAAATACAAAACAAATCACAAATTGCTTAAACCTCAGCTATTAATTTGTGTATATTCTCTCGAAATTGTATTGTGGAATCCAACTATGCGATTATAATTGAGAGTTGGCTTGCTTCTGTGGGGAAGGGGTGTGCCATGTTAATTGTGCAGCTCAGCATTTGTTGGAAACAGTGACATCACTAAGTCACTGAGAGCCCCAGCTCTAGTTACCACAAACAGGCCTGGAAGATATTAGATCTTGCCTTGGTCCTGAGATGGACTCCAGGCTCTTCTGTGTGGCCTTGAGTCTCCTGTGTGCAAGTGAGTGCTGGACACATGAAAATTGTGCTTCCCTCAACAGAATTTGCAAGTCTTTAGCTGAGATGACATCATCATGCTCTGTCTTCCTCTATTCCAGAACACATGGAGGCTGCAGTCACCCAAGACCCAAGAAGCAAGGTGACAGTAACAGGAGGAAAGGTGACACTGAGCTGTCGCCAGACTTACAACCACAACTATATGTACTGGTATCGGCAGGACCAGGGTCATGGACTGAGGCTGATCCATTACTCATATGGTGCTAACAACATTGAGAAAGGAGATGTCCCTGATGGGTACAAGGTTACCAGACCAAACCAAGAGAACTTCTCCCTCATTCTGGAGATGGCTTCCCCCTCTCAGACAGCTGTGTACTTCTGTGCCAGCAGTGATGCACAGCAATGTGTGGCTGCCTCCCCTCTGCACATAAAGTAAATTAGGAAGACAAGTTTCCTGTGTGCCTCAGGAAGTCCTTGCCTCTTTAAGAGTCACTGAGCTCTAAAAAAAAAAACAAAGGACATTTAAGCATGGGTCTCAGCCTGACTGAAGACCAACTCTAACACCTTTTCTTGGCTGCTTGTCACAAATCCACCCCTTGTTTCTGCTTACAGAAAGAAACCTGAATCCTTAATTGAAGTCCTGATGACTCTTTTGATAAGCTCACAGCCACTATCTCCCTCCCTGTGGACTTCAAGTTAACTCTTCAACCACATTACTATCCACCTGAGTCACTTACATGGTCTCTTTCCAGGCCAGTAACCCCTTTGTTCTACAGGACAGTAGCCCATAAGGTCCTATGTCATTTTCATCATTCATCTCTATCAACAGCCTTCACCCAGCCTTCCTTGGTTCTTTCCTCCCCAGCTAAATGTATCTACATTCCCCTTCTTCATTTGTCTTGTGCTGTTTTCAACTGTGGAGACATTTTCCTAGGACCTTCCTTCTGTACCAAAGGCATGCCTTTCCCTCTTCCTCTGAATCTCTATTTCCCATGAAAATCTTATTTTCTAAGATTTTAATTCAATTATATTATTTCTTCCCTTACTTCTTCCTCTAGTCCCTCACATTATTTTCTCCCCTTTCAAACTCAAGGCCTCTTATTCTTTAATTATTATTTTTTATTTTGTTTTTTTTTGTGTATGGCCTGAATAAATAAATAAATTCAAACAGTTGAGTCTATTTAGTATTACTTACATTTATAATTTTAGGGATGCCTGCTTGTGATTGGATAATCATGTATGGGACTCATCCTGGGGAAGAGTTACTCCCTTCTCTCAGCAGGCTTTAATTGCAAGAAGAAAAAATAATCTGGAGGAATTACCATGCCAGATTTCAATACCTATTACTCTTTTTCCTTATTATTGGTGAATTTACAAATAGAACTATCATATTATCTTGTTGTAATGTGTCAGTAACTTGGCTCATTGAGTAGATGACTTCAGGAAGCTGCTCATGCCGCATTTCATTCTACAAAATAGGCAATAAAACTGTGCCAGCATTGAGTTTGTATATTCAGGTCATAGTCATCTTTCTTGCATCATGATAGGTCTAAAAGATATAAGAAGATGTGTTTAACCTCAGTATTTCAAAGTTTTGGTCTATGATTAATTGGACCTGTGGTTTGGGGGCTTGTGGTGTGACAGAACAGCCTGGCAGGAAGAATGTAGCAGAGTTGTATTTCCCATCCTTTGACAGCCAAGAAGGAAGATAATGAAAAGAAGAGGAGAGGATAAGAGAGAAGATGAAGAGAGGGAAGATGTGAGTGAAGATGTGGGGGGAAGTGGAGGAGAAGGAGGAGGAGGAGAGAGGAGAGAGAGACTGATTGATCTATTAACTGCATTCCCCTTGGGACATCATATACCCTCTTACTAGGCTCTCCTTTCTATTATAAACCCATCTATAGACTAGACAATGATGAAATCAAAGCCTTCATGATCTAATCTTTCTCATAGCCCTTCCTCTGAACATTGTGTAGACAAGTAAGCCTGTCATACATGAGTCTTTGGGGAACACTCTTGTAAGCCAAATATGTACTATTTTGCTTTGTAATATTGCAAAATTTGCCTAATATAGTTATCAAAAAGATTTCATTTACTAATTTTTGTTAAAAATAGACTGTTCTTTCACACAGTACATTCTAACCACAGTTTCCCCTCC